TATATATATCATAACCAGGCAACCCAATCTCTAATTCATTTCCCTTAAAGTATATTTTGGAATTTTCTTTGCTTATATTTCCATGTTAAGTCATTCAACTCTACTGAGTACTTCTGGTTATCTGCTTTAAGTTTACTATCCTTTATTTCTAATTATTTTCAATGAAGATGAGCTAAGAATCTTCTGAGTGTAAATGAAGTAACATTTTAAAGCAATAGAATTTTATCTCATAAACAAATACCATGCTTTTGTGCTTTTCAGAAATTGCTGAAGCACTTACTAGATTTCACAGTATAATATACAGTAATAACTGTAATTTATCTAATTCAACAATTTGAATGCAATAAATTTTGGCCAGTCTAGCATTTTAGCTGAGTTGCTATTTGCATGTCCATTAATGCTTAAAAAGCAACATCTCTCATTTCTCCAACATCATATCCTATTCACTACTAGGGTTAAACAGTACAAATATCTGAGTATGAGACATAGGACATAAAAATGAAGTCATGAACTGTTCTCCTTTATAAACATGGCAATGAGCCGGGTGTGTGGTAGCACACACCTATAATCACAGCTACCCAAGAGGCCTGAGTTCATCCTCGGCAGTTTAGAGAGATCCTCTCAAAAGTTAATAAAAAAGGGCAGGGATATAGGTTGGTGGTACAGAACTTGCCCAACATGTATAAGATCTTGGGTTCAATCCCCAGTATTAGAAGAACAAAAACAAATGAGAAACATCACTGGAATATAGACAATAATATTATATTGTTGTTGTTGTTGTTGTTATTGTTATCATTATTATCTTGGTTTTTTGAGACAGTATCGTGCCACGCAGTTCAGGCTGGCTTTGAATTCACCATCATCCTCCTGCCTCAACCTCCCACATGATGGGATTATAGGTGTGCCAGCATGCTTGGCTCAAGATAATACATTAAAAGACTTCAGGGGGTTTGGTTAAGTGGCTCTACTGCCCGTCTCACAAGCACAAGGGCCCAAGTTCAATCTTTGGTACAAAGACAGTATCGTGCCACGCAGTTCAGGCTGGCTTTGAATTCACCATCATCCTCCTGCCTCAACCTCCCACATGATGGGATTATAGGTGTGCCAGCATGCTTGGCTCAAGATAATACATTAAAAGACTTCAGGGGGTTTGGTTAAGTGGCTCTACTGCCCGTCTCACAAGCACAAGGGCCCAAGTTCAATCTTTGGTACAAAAAAATGTGAAACTAAAGTCAGGATATCCATTTTGGAATTTCTTTTGGTTTTTCACTGCTTATCATACTATTAATACGAAATAAACAACTTTAGCTCTATGATGTAGATGAATAAATGTTAGGTGTTCTTACTGTATTAAGATTTAACCTACATGCTATAAATTCCTTAATTAGAATTCAGTCATACACAGCATGTTTTGTTAAATGAAAGGCTATGCATGTGACAGTGGTGTTTTAAGATTATAATGGAACTAAAAAATTCCGGTCACCTAGTGAGTGACCTTGTAGCTAATTTCATAAGCTAATACATTCCTTACTTGTTTGTGATGATAATAGTGTAAATAAACCTTACTGTACTGCCAGTACTATAAAAGTATAGAACATTAAATTATTATTGGGTTTTTTTGGTACTGAGGATCAAACTCAGGACCTTGTGCCCATGAGGCAGGCACAGTGCCACTGACCTAAATCCCCGGCCTGCAAATATAATTTTTACAGTCCATAATACTTAATAACAGTATGACTATAGCTGGTTTATGTCTTTAGTATATATTACAGCATATGTCGTATTTAGTATATTATAATTTTATTCTTATGCAGTAGGCTACACTCTCTAGGTTTGTGTGAGTATACTCCCTGTCACCATGGACACAAGGACACAATACTCAGAATGCACCTTTGTCGTTAAGGAGTACATACACACACACATACACACCCACCATAAAATCCAAATGTACTACTAGTCACTAGTCAAACTATTTAAAAATTATTTTGCAGTATATAAAAATGTTAATTATAATATATATACAATTAGATGTGTGTGTGTGTGTGTGTATATATATATATATATAATTTTAAGACAAGTTCAATCTACTTTTCTAATACTAAATCTGCTACTTTCCTTCAACTTATTACTCTTTGTTCATTGAAAATCTCTTTTCTCTCTACACTCTGGCCACAGAAGCCATTCATTCACTGATGTGGTAGTTAAGATCTAACATATAACTATGAATGAAGCTGGGTATAATAATCATACAGAAAGGAGAAGTAGGTAAGGTTTCCAAATTCATTAGATGAAGTACCTAAATGTAAAAAAATTAGCATCAGTCAAACTAAAATGCACAGCAAGCTGGGCGTGGTAGTGCACACCTATCATCCCAGCACTCAGGAGGCTGAGGAAGGAGGACTGCCATAAATTTGAGCCTAGTCTGGACTACACAGAGTTAAAGGCCAGCTTGAACTTCGTAGCAAGATCCTGTCTCAAAAACCAAAACCAAAACCAAAGAAAATAGAATTTTCAGAATGGAATGGGTACAGGGAAAATAAGAGATGAGGCAGGATAATGAACTTGATGTTTACTGGACTTGCTACATATTAAGGTTCAATAGGAACCCAGTGATTTGAAGTTCAACACTGAATAATTTCCTAGAGAATATCAATTTTACTATGACCAGGTAAAAATCCTATTTCATAAGCAGAGAGCTTTACACTGGAAATGTTTTAAAAGCATTCTGATATCCTCTACATTCCTGGTCTGACCCTTAATGATGTGATTTCAAAGTATTAATATAAATTATGTCTGTCTCAAAAGGAAATATTTCCCATTTAGCATTATTAACGATCTATAATGAACAACATATTCTAGAAAACTAGTCTTCAAATGTCTTTTATAGTAGAATCCACTTTTCATTCCTCAACTTTTTTTTTTTTTTGGGGGGTACTGGGGATCAGACTCAGAACCTTGTGCTTGCCAGGTAGGTGCAGTGCCACTGAGTTAAATAAATTCCCAGCCCAGAATCCTCTTTTTAAACAATATATTACTTAAAACCACTATACATAAATAAATCAAAAGGTAGCTACTCTGATCAAACATAAATTGAGCCTCTCTTATATTTTCTTTGCTTTTACTTCAGATTGGGTCTTGCTATGTAGCCTAGGTTGTTCTGGAACTCATGGGGATTCTACTGCTTCAGCCTCCTTAGTGCTGGAATTACACCTTGCCTGGCTCTTAAAACTTACTAAAAACAGATACATCATTTACATATTACAAATTACTAGTCAAAATTGTGCAAAATAATGTTATACAAACAAGGCTAAATGATGAATTTCTAGTTTCCTCTCAGATATGTAAAGAACTTGAACCCATTTTCATCCTCACAACCTGAAACAAGCAAAATAAACTGAAAATGAAGACCTCCTCTTACACACTGTATTAAATGAGAGAACAGAAACTACAGGGAAACCACCATCTTCAAAGCTGGAGAGGCTTTACCAAACACTGCTGGACCTAGGAATGTGTAGAAATACTCCTAAAAAGTAACTGACAAATTTCAGGAAACCTCTGATGACTGCCTTGAGAGTTAAAGCTCCTAAGTGCCAGTTTCTTGAAAGAATCACATTTGGGGGGAATTTAACCTCCAAAATCCCCATGGGATTCTCAACAGTGAAGACTGGAAAAAAACTGCTCCCAGGAAGGGAAGAAGGAAGTGAACACGAGTTCTACTCTCCTTTACAAGGGCCTACTCTCAAGGAAATCTACCTTGCCCAACTACAGAGCAAGGGCAAGTAGAAAGTGAGTACACAAGCACCCTGCCACTCCTCTTTCTTTGTGAAGGCCTGCCAAGCACTTCTATCACTGATCTCACTTATCCAAACCCTCCTCTAAACTTCCTATCTCAAGTAGGAGCAGAAAAATAAAGGCTGACAAACTCAAAATCACAGCTCTAAGATGAAGATCTACTTTTAGAAGACAGAGCTGGGCATGGTAGCATAAGCCTATAATACCAACACTAGAGAAGGTAAGGCAGGAGGGAGGCCCAGCTGTTATTTTTGTTGGCTTACTTTGTGTCATTGCCTCTGTGTGAGGGTATGAGTGTGGCTGTGGTTGGTTTTTGTTTTTCATACTTTACAAGCCTTGAAAGGTTTTGTTGAAAGATATATTAACTCAGGAAGAACTGAAGTAAATAAAACTTTAGTGGTTTTGTGTTCATCTGGCAAGGAGTCAGGCTATGTTTGATATTTGCTGTAGCTATAGGTATTAGAGACTTCAATCTTTTTTGTGTTTCCTAAGAAACTTTTTTAAAAATATAGGCTGTATCTTGTAGCTCTCTCAATTCTAATAACCTATTATCATACTGGAGCTTTACTGATATGGTGTTAACATAATGGGAAGGCAGAACATTCCATAATCTGATCATTGAACTTCACTTTGCTTTTTTTTTGAGAAAGGGTCTCACTATGTAGTTCAGGCCGGCTTTGAACTCACATCTAGCTCAGGCTGGCCTCAAACTCTTGGCTATCCTCCTGCCTCAGCCTCCCTACTGCAAAAAAGAACCAAACTAAACCAACCCAGACAAAACAAAAATAAACAACAAAACCACCAAGTAAAAGAAAATGATATAATAAGTAAACAAATAAGACCCAACTATATGTTGTTAAATATAAAGACAGAGATTGAATAAAGGAGGAAAGGCTGGGGATGCAACTCAGTGTAGAAACAACAACAACAAATGCCAAAGCCATAGCCAAACCAACCACCACCACCACCAACAACAACAAAAAGTAAAGGGATGAAGAGAAATAAATTTTGTTAACATTTATTTATCAAATGAAAGGTGGAGGGCTGGGGACTTAACTCAGTGTTTCTGCCACCTGCCTCGCAAGTGCAAAGTCCTG